CCCCAAAACCCCAAAACCCCAAAACCCCAAAACCCCAAAACCCCAACAGAAATTCCAGCTGTTGAAGAATAAAAAGCATCACTTATGTATTCAAATGGAACTTTACTTCGCCTTCATTTATTTCTATCTTGTCTCTAGCATATTCACAATCTAAATCTTGAATAATCTCCTCTTTTGACATGATCACTCTATCGCCCCAACTCATGGTAACTCAGAATGTCTTTCTATATGTAGAATTGAGGATCTCATTCATTATAGTGCAAATGAGAACACACCTTTCATCCTTGTAAATCGTGACTGGAGAGCAGCAGTAGAACTCCACTGTTTCCATGTTTACAACCAAGCTATAATTCTTAAAAGTGGGCTCTCATTCCTGTTCTAAAATCCAGCATTTTCCAAATAAGATATTCTCCAGATGTCTTCCTGAAATAATGATTCTCTGAATATGAGTCGGCTTCAACCGAAAGTACTCTAAGCTTGCTGAACGAGTATAATTCCAAAGGCTTGATCAGGTACTCTTCACTAGTGAATATTTTTGAGATACCATCTTGGTAAAATTATAGATATGAAAATCCTCTGCCTTGATGACCGACTTCGGGCTCTAAACTGTTACTATTAAAAATACTATTAATAGCTTGATCAATGATTTACCAAAACTTTGGTTTGGAAGGATTAAAATTTTGACTAAATCAACTTCTTTTATTGTTTGATTCAGCTTCCGATGTTTTCTAAAGAAATTCTTGGCTTCGTAATTATCAGAGCCAAGGTAAAATCTTTTCGGACTTCAGACATCTCCTTCAAGGTACCCATTAAAATCAAGCTTCTCTGTGAATACCTCAAAGCAGAGATCTGAATATTTAGAGTCTAGCTTCAAAACCTTGGCTTCTACATCTCTATGGAGTTGAGTCTGGTCCTTCTCTGAAGACTCTCAGGCCTTCTGATAATTTCTGATTCTCATCATTTTATATATTTATTAGAACCAATTTTCTTAAATTTTATTGGGGTTTTGGGGTTTTGGGGTTTTGGGGG